TTCCTCAGCTTTCCCTGATCATTCTCTGACACCAACTCAGGAAATAGACAAGGCCTAAGTCAGGTAGGATCCTATCTATTACTTTCATGTGTAGGAATTGCATCCCAGTTCTCAGTGATGTCATCAGATAGGAAAGAGGGAAAATCTGCCTGTTAGCTTCCTAGGTGTCCTTTCTGCCTTGGTCACACTGGCAGGTGACAGTCAGCCACATGGAATTTATGTTACTACTCCTGCCCCTGCCCTCATATTTCTGAAATGTGTGTGTGAGGGAGTATCTGGTCATCTCCAGGCTCAACTAATTCCATTGGAACCCAGCAGGTCATTTTTATTGACTGAAACTGCCAGATCCCAATGGCCATTGAAAATCTTCAGTCACACAACACTAAGCCTTGCTAGTAAGAAGAATTTCACTGACACAGTGGTTTAGTTATGGTTATAAAGCAGTGTGGGCCAGGGAACAGTTATAGATAGGAAGACATGCTCTGGGAAGATTTAAGGAACATCCTTCAAGAAACATACCTCTTGTTGTCAGGACATGTCTATGACATAATTCATAAGACTGGTGGACCTCAGGGAATCAGTGCAGGGAGAAGACTCACCATGGAATTTAATTAAAATCTCATTGCTTAAACTTTCAATTTGATTTAGGGAGAGCTATGTAATCAGAGGAGTCAACTGTATGCAATAGATTTTCAGCAATGTCTTGAAAGAGACAGTAAGTTAGATACTATTTACTCCCTCATCTTCCTGAGCCCAATAATGAAGCAGACAGATGTGACATCAGTCCTTAGTACAAACCAGTATTACTGCAGGTTAACAATGATCATGAGAGAGCCAGGAGCTTGTGATATTCTCAGACATGTGTGTGAACATGCACACACACACACACACACACACACGCACACACACACACATGCACAAACACACCCCTCTCCAAGTACAAGGCTAATTGAGAGTTGCTGATTCACTTGCTGCAATTCTGCAGAACATATACCCCCAGAGTAGAAACGACTAAGTCAGTATACTACAAAAGCATTTTGGATTCAGTATTCAGATGAAGGGAATGGACAACCCAAGTTATTTCATTGCCTGAACTGAGCCAGGAATGGAAAATTGACTATCCTTGTTCCAGCTTCTCCCCAGCAGCATCTCCAGGCTCCTCCCTCACCCTGTGGAGCCAGCTTTTCTTCTTTCAACTTAACTGCCTACTTCAACACTTAGCCCACCCTCCCTCTGCCTGTGCCCCAGGGTCTCCCTTCTCTACACATAGGTCCTGTCCCCAGCAGAAAACCCACAGCAAGTTTATCCTTCCATGATTCTGAGATCAGTCCAGGTAATGCTGCTGGAGTGAACCCCTGGTAATGAGGTACAATTTTATCAAAGATCTGTGGAAGCTGGTGTACAAATCTTGGATCATGAACTATGAGTTTTGTGATGAAATAAAAATGTTATTAATAAAAATTGCATTGATTGATGATGATAATAATGTAAGGACCCTCCTGGGCTTTACTACAAAAACATCTTGGACTCCCACTGATCCCACAGCAGCTCTCATTGCCATGGGGGCTTCACAAATCCTGGCTCCATAGACAACATCAGCATGTATCTTGGGCCTTTCCTGTTTCTTCAGAAGAGCTGAGAATTATGAGCTCTCTCCTTTCCCTAAAGAAAACAAATCACAGGGAAGGAACCTTTTACACTGGGATAAGGTCACAGAATCTGCAAGCTATTTACCTTACTTCACCTAATGGATGTCAATTCTCTGTACTGATTTTGGCAGGGCAAAGTGGGTGCATCTAGCAGAGAATGCTATAGCTGAATGCCCTATACACCCTCTTGGGTAATATGGCCTTTGAATTCATCTGTAGGAGGGAACTACTTCTTCATGATTCTCCACCAGCAGGGGGAGGTAGAGCTACAGTCAGGAGCAGCCAGAAAGAGGCTGGGTAATCAAAAGAGGAGGCCAAGAGGAATGCCCATCCAGAGAGTTCAACAGGTCTCCATGTAAGGAGAATCCATATAACCCATTATATGCCTGGGTTGCAGTGACCACATTCTGATGATCATACACAGTATGTCCCCAGGACACTGACAGGAGCCTAGAAACAGTGAGGGCCTCACCTGGGAAATGCCTTGGAGGAGGTTCCTATTTTCAGCTCTCACAGATACCTTCAAGAGAATGGGGAAACTACATCAAGTTCTGTCTAGGGAAAAGTTCCATGTGAGAGGATGAAAGTTGCAGACCTGTGTCCTTCACCCAGGACAGCTTCCCAGGTGTCCTGCCTAATCCCAGAGCACCTTTGCTTATGACCAGTAGTGGTCCCAGAACTAATCTCCCTATCCTGGGCACTTCCAGATATGCCTGTACCATTTCTTTTACACTCCTCCAAGTTTCAGGCAGATCTGCCTTGAGAATGGCAGCTCCTGTGCTCAAGGGCAGTCTCAAGTGAAAACAGAAGGCACTTAGGGTCTTATCTAAATGGAGGATTCACAGCCTCCTTTACAACATTCTGCCTTAGTGTTTTTTTTTGTTTGTTTGTTTTTTTTCTTTCTTTCTTTCTTTCTTTCTTTCTTTCTTTCTTTCTTTCTTTCTCTTCTTCCTGTCTAGTTTCTGCATAGAAAAGAAAACATGACCCTTAACCTGAGTTTGACTTATTTCACTTAGCATTATGGACTCTTTTCCCATAAAATTTTGTACAAATGACATCATTTCACTTTCCTTTATGACTGAATATATGTACCACATTTTATTTATCTAGTTATCCACTGATGGACACCGAGCCTGGTTGTATACTCGGACTATTGTGGATTGTGCTTCTATAGACATTGGTATGTTTGTATCATTATAGTATGCTGACTTTAATTCTTCAGGATGAATATTGAGGAGTGGTATAATTGTGTCATGTAGTGAGTCCATGCCTTGCCTTTTGAGTAAACTCTAAACAGATTTCCAAAATAGTTGAACTAATTTACAACCCAGTTCTTATACACATAATAGCGACAATAAAAATAAATGGAATATATAGGTAAAAGGATATAAAGAGGTAACCAAAATGGGCTGCTGAAAATAAAATCAACCAATCACAATGTAAGCCACTAGTGGAGTAGTGAGGAACATATAAGAATACTAAGTTACATGTAGAAAGCTAAGAGCACATTGACAGAAGTCTGTCATTATCTGCAATATTAGATGGAACACAAGACATTGGATGGAACACATGAGTCTTAATTCCTATAAGCTAAGAAATGTAAGCCCTCACAGGATTTAACACAGTTTCTCTAAACTGTATTTTCTCTATATTATACTTTTTGAGAAAGGCTACAGGTAGTGTGATTCTTTTCTAACAAAACCAAAGCACTTGCCATTGGACTTGGATCTGCCATGAACCCTATGCACTGAGAATACTACCAATTTGAGGGTCACAGGGTAGGACAGAGTGGGCACACCTGGCACAGAGCAAGGCTGGACACCCTGACAACAGGCTGTCATGTGAGAAAGGCTTTGGAGTCAGCAGGAGGGAGGTACTCTTTATGTTAATCCTAAATCAGCAGGGGGAAACACAGCTGCACCCAGAAGTAGCCAGAAAGTGGGTGCGGCTGCACAGATTCCAAGAGGGAGGACAGCCCTGGAAACCAAAAGGTTTCCTATTTTAATCCTGGACCTGGACATCAGTAAAGTCCAAAGTATGCCTCAGTCTGCATTATCAATGTTCTGAGCATCAGATTAATACAAGGTCACACTGGGACCCTGGCAAAAGCCCAGAAAAAATAAGGACTTCATCTGGAAATGTGTTAAAGAAGCCTGGTCATCCTGGAAAGCACCTGCTGGTATGAAACCCATTGAAGAGACCAAGCCAAGTTTCATGGTCTTAGGAAGGAGCATAGTGTAAGAAGATGAGGATCCTAGGCCCTGTGTCCTTTTCACAGTATGACTGCACAGGCCTCCTTCTCCTTCTAAACTCAGGGCAGCATTTGTGGCTGTCCAGAAGCCATCCCAAGGATGACTCTTCTATCTGAGGCACCTCCAAAGATGCCTGCTTAGTCCTTCCTGCTTTTCCTCCTACCTCTGGGCAAACCTTCCCTCAGGCTGTTTGTATTTCCTATGCTTCAGTGCAAGTTTGGATGGAGGAAAGGGGCACTTGGTCCCTTGTTCCTGGATGGACTATGCAAAGTCTCCTTGAGGAAACTCTCAGATTGATGCTATATATCATATGCCTTAGGTGACAGCCCTAAATCCAGAGTTTACTTTTCTTCAATCATAGTATCCTTTTGGCTTGAGGGAACCTTGACAAAACATCTTCTAGAGTTCAGACCTGGAAACTGTAACACTGATGACCTTCATAATGATCAAGGAGATTATTGTAGTTTACTCCATAAAGTATGGATTTGGGCACTTTTAATCAGATCACCAAAAACATGGATAATTAAAAATAATAAACTTGCCTAAGGCTTATATATTGTGAATTGGGGGATGTAAAACACTCTCATTTTGAGGCTACAAATAGTGGTAAACTCACCAAAAAGTGGTTAACTAAATAAATAAGGCCTAATTTGTGAAAAAATTAACAATCATCCTCCAACCAGAAAAGCATTGAGTGAAATGCCAACTATGAAACCAAAGTGCACCTGGGCACCACTGAAAGAAGGTGAGGAAGTAAAGGTCCAGTGGTCCATCTTCTGCTGAGTCAGGTGTCATCAAGGCTTTTCAACAGGGTGGAGTACAACCTATGGCCAGGCTCCCAGAAGGTCAAAGGCCCTTCTGAGTCTTAATTCCTATAAGTTAAGAAATGTAAGTCCTCACAGGGTTTAACACAGTTTCTAAAGTGGACCAAGATAAGAATGAGCCTAGGAGAACTGGGACAGTAGTCGTGGGGTAAATTCCTAGAAAGTGACTGTGAACAGAGGACATGGAATTCAAGGCTGATTTTTTTGCCAGAGCAGCTTGGAGAAAATTGAATACTCAACCTCCACTTTCTCAGTCTCTTTTTCTGTACCCACAGAAATTTTGAATGACTTCCTATAATTAGTGGTCACAGAGAATACTTAATTTGCATGATCGCCAAACATGTACTTCCCCATTTTGAAAGGAATAAGAGAGGCCCTGGGGAACTCAGTGGTGCTGTACATGTCAGAAGAAAGAGTTCTTGTGTGTCTCCACCATGACCTGGACACATTTCCTTCTCCCCCTCTTGCTCTACACAGGTGATCTTCACAGCCCTGGCATAGACTCTACCTATGGGGGTACCAAAAGATCATGAGCTGGACCTTCCCATAACTCTAACTTCATCTGGGACATAATCCTATTGAGTCACATAGGTATGGGTTTTTCCTCCTAAGGGTCAACCTTCTCTTTTTCTCTTGCAGGCTCTGTGGTCTCCTATGAGCTGACTCAACCACCCTCAGTCTCAGTAGCCCTGGGACAGACAGCCACAATCACCTGCTCAGGAGATGCACTGCCAAAAAAATATGCACACTGGTTCCAGCAGCAGCACCCAGGAGAGAGTCCTGTGCGGGTAATATACAAAAATAATGAGAGACCCTCAGGGATCCCGGACAGATTCTCTGGATCCAAATCAGGGACAACAGCCACCCTGACCATCAGCAGAACTCAGACTGAGGATGAGGCTGTCTATTACTGCTTGTCATGGAACAGTGATGGTACTCAGGCCACAGTGAAACAGGCAGATAGGGAAGTGAGAAAAAAACCCTACCCTGACAGTGTCACACTTCTTTAGATTCAGAAGACTGGAGACAGAGCCTTAAGCAGGTCTGGTTAAGCTTATCTAGAGATTAGGTCCCTAGACTGCCCTTACTTCCCAGCTCTTCAGCCAGGCTCAACATAGGGTAAGTCAAAGAAAGCTTTATATCCACCGAGACAGCTTGTTATGGTGCTTTCTGAGAGAGGCAGTGAAAAAAAGAAAGCAAAAATGGTTGAAATGATTGAAAATATAGATAGGAAGAGCCATCAGTTCATAGTCATGGCTCTTGTACTTCCACATAATGCTGATTGGATCTCTCCGTGGCCCCAATATTCCAGATTTCTAGCCTCTTGAGTTGATCAGCACTTCTCAGATCCTGAAACCACAGGTTCTCATGGCAACCTATGATCCTGAAGAGAGAAGAGCAGTATAGTATACAGAGAGGGATTGGCCTTGATCTTCTCTTCAGAGCTCCCCCCTCCATCCACAAAACAGATTCCTCATAGCTCACACAGGTGCCCTCACTGCAAAGTGATGTTAGTTAAAGAAAAATGCTTCTCCAGGTTCACATCCTTCTCAGACAGGTTTAGTTTAATGACTGTTTGAGGCCATGACCTCAGGACCCTGCCCTTCTTTAGGGTACCATGAAAGGCCTTCAACACTAGAGCAAGCTGTTGGTAGGCTGAGTCCAAATGCTAATGGAGTAATGGTCTCCTTCAACCCAGTGCTACGTCCCTTTCTGATTCAAGGCAACCTGAGCATCATTCTCCAGCTTGGAGTCTGCATCTAGTACATTCAGTGAATGAAGAACTGGTGACCCCAACATGGGCCCTCAGAGACTATTATGGTTTGGATATTTGGTATCACTGTAAAGCTCACATATGAAGCAATGCAGAAATGTTCAGAGGCAAAATGAATAAGAGAATTAAGAATAAAAGTCATCTAGTAATCTCAGTAGATGCACAAAAAGCCTTTAACAAAACTCAGCACCCATTTATGAAGAAACTAGAGATAGAAGGAACATAACTCAGTATAATAAAGGCTATGTAGAAAAAAACCTAAAGTCAACCTCATAGTAAATGGAAAAAAACAAAGCGTTTTCTTTAAAATACGTGAGAAGACAAAACATTCCATTTTTACCACCCTTATTTAATACGGGGCTAGAAATTCTAGCCAGAGCAATTAAGGAAGTGATGGAAATTAAAGGGATAAAAATAGAAAGGGAAGGAGTCAAATTATCACTGTGCAGATGATATGAACCTGTACTTAGAAAAGCCCAAAAGACACCAAATGACTATTAGAGCTAATAACCAAATTTGGCAAAGTAGCAGGTTACAAAATCAACATAAAAATTGATAACTTTTGTATATACCAACAGTGTATCTGCTGAGAAAGAGATCGAGGAAAACAATTCTATTCACAATAGCCTCAAAAAAATCTCTAGAAACAAATCTAAGCATGGAGGCTAAAGACTTCTATGATGTTAACTGCAGAACAATGAAGAAAGAAGTTTAAGAACTCAGAAGATGGAAAGAGTTATCAAGTTCATGGATTGGTAGAATTAATATTGTTAAAATGACCATACTATCAAAAGCAATATACAGATTCAATGAAATTCCCTATTTAAATAACAAAGACATTCTTCACAGAACTAGAAAAAAAGGTTCTAAAATGTATTTGGAAGAATAAAAGATCTAAAATAGCCAGTGCAATTTTAATCCAAAAAGCAATGCTAGAGGCATCACAAAACCTGACTCCATATTATACTACAGATCTTTAGTAAGAAAAATACCATGGTATTGGCAAAAAAAAGACACATAGACCTATGATTCCGAATAGAAGACCCAGAGATAAACCAATGAACATATAGTAATTTGATCATCATAAAAAAGGTGCCAAAAGTATACATTGGTGAAAAGATATATTGTGTAACAATTGATGCTGGGTCAACTTCTTATCCATATGTAGAAGAATGAAATAGACGCTAATCTCTCACCTGCACATAAATCAACTTAAAATGAGTAAAAGGCCTTGTGTTTATATAGAAACCATGTAACTCCTAGAAGAAAACACAGGGTTAATATTCCAGCTTTTTGGCAAAGGCAGTGACTCTCAATAGGACCCTTAAAGCTCAACTTATAATGACAAGAATTAATAAGTGAAACAGCATCAAATAAAAAAAGCTTATGCACAACAAAGGAAAAATTAGCCATGTAAAGTGAGAATCCACAAAACAGGAGAAAATCTTTGCTAGTTACTCCTCTGACAGGGAATTAATATCTAGAATGCATGAAGAGTTCAAAACTTTATAATTAAAATCAAAAAATCCAATTAATTAATGGGCAAATGAAGTAAAAAGAAATTTCTCAAAAGAAGAAGCACAAATAGGCAATAAACATGAAAGTGTATTCAGCATCATTAGCAATTAGGGAGATTAATGAAAATTGCACTGAGACTTAATCTCACACCAGTTAGAATTACAGTCTTCAAGAGTATGAATGATAATAAATGCTAGAGAAGATATGGAGAAAAAGCACCACTTTTACTCTGTTGGTGGGATTACAAATTATTAAATCTCTATGGCAATCAGAATGGAAACCCTTCAAAAGACTAGAGATGGAACCACTATGTGCCAGCTGTAGCACTTCTCAGTATTTACCCTGAAGAATAAGAGCATTTTACTGCAGTGATATAGTAAACACATATGCATGTTTATAGCAGCACAATTCACAATAGCTGAACTAGGGAACCAGCCTAGGTGTCCATTAGCAGATGAATGAATGAAGTGTGGTGTGTGTGTGTGTGTGTGTATGTGTGTGTGTGTGTTTTCTAAGTTTTATTCAGCCACAAATATAAATAATAGTACATTATTTTCAGGAAAATGGATGAAGTAGAGACTATTATTTTAAGTGAAATAAGTCAAACTCAAAGGTTAAAGGTCATATGTTTCTGCACATATGCAGAAGCTAGAGAGAAAAAGGAAAACAAATGTGGGAATGGATTTCCAAAAAATTAAAGGGATATCT